GTGTCGTAATAATGAAAATAGCAAAAAATAATTTGAAAAAATTATAGAATATAAAAAATTATGTTCTACAAAAATATGAGAATTTTATTTTGAAGAATTATATAGTATAAATGTATTTTGCCTATACAATATATTAGTGATTGTTCTTTGTGACAAAAATAAATAAATATTGAAATCATCTTCAGAGAAAGATAGTAAATATTTGTAGGCCATAAACATAAATCTATCTATAAGTTTACAATTTGCCACCTAATGAAAAATATAAATGCTACCTTACAAAATTATTAAATATTTATGATAAATCATTCCCTTCCATACATTTGAAAAACGTATTAAGAAAAAAAGAACCTCTCATTGTGAATTTTGTGGTGGGGCGGGAAATTTAAGTCGAAATGTAGCAAGATTCTACCTCCCTAACACGTGACCACTTTTGACCATGAAAATTTTGAAAAATAATATTTTGGATCGTAAATTCAAATGCATGGGTTCTGTTCAATTTTTGAACTTCATGCAATCGCTTAAATATATGAATTTTAATGCTTGAAAACGTAAAGCTTTAATGAGAAAAATCAGGCACTATATTTCGAAAAATATGTGTACTCCAACTAAAATTCTTTAGCTTCTGAAGGATTCTATGTACTCGATACTAAAACACACATGAGATACAAGATATGTATGACTAGGAAACAGAAGATATATCACTTATCTGTAAAATATCAGGTCACCAAATCTGTGGCTAACTTGTTTTTAATAAACTTATTCAATGCAACTTCACCTATTCAATATACTTGTTTTCAATACACCTTTATTTCTCATAATCAATATCTTGATATTTTGTTAACACAAAAAATTGCATTTTAAAAATAAAAAAATTGAGCTATTCAACAAGTAAAAAGGGAATTTTAAGTATCAATATTTTTGCGTACAATAAACATTTTACTGTGTATAATTAAAATTTTAAATTTATTTTATCTTAATTTATCTATGGTTATTTTGCTGTGTAATTAGAAATAATGTTTTGAGTAATTACAGTTTTGCTGAGTTTCCTGTTTATTTATTTTGCTGAGTAGTTATAAATCAGTAATTATAAATAGTGCAATCAAAATGATAATAAAAACTACGCATTAATAAAGATAATATAGGGTAAACTAACCAGTGAAGGAGCACTTAAGCTTCGCTTGCCTTTTAAAAAATCATATTAACTTCAAAATTCGTAATTTTAGTCAAATGACAGCGTCAACATATTTGATACTAATTGAAAATTATGTAAAAAAATTGAAGAGAACTTACATAATATTGTTTTAAAGTTTTGGAGGTTCAAATAACAAGTAGTAAGAAGACCAAGTGAAGGAACAGCGCTTACCAGTGAATGAACACCCAGTAAAGAAACACTTAATTTTGGTTATTTTTTAATGCTCTTTATGTATTTATAAGCCATAGAAATATTTAAAAACAAGCATATTCTTGAAATTATAACATATAAATACTTGGAAAATGTTAACTTTTTTTTGTAATCATGAATTGAAAATTAAAGTGTCAACATATTAACGCATACTGCTCATTCACTTGGAAATCTATGCCCAGTAAAGGAACATGCCTGTTCCCTCACTGGCTAGAAGTTGTTTTTCGTATTTTTAACATACTTTTGATGCGGAACATCACTTAAGATACAAGAAAATTATAGTTTATATTTTATATTCATTAACTTAGAAAAAAACCCAGTAAAGGAACATTTGTTCCTTCACTGGTTTTTCATCGTTTGGTGATCCAGTGAATAAACATATCAGTACTTGATTATGCTATGATGCTTAAAAAAATAAAACGTAACTTCAATAACTATATTTTGAATTCTTATTTTCACAATGAGAAAAATAAAACTATTACATGCAATTAATTCCACTTCAATCATATAAATACAAGCACTCACCTTATAATTCTTTTCAAGGAAACAAGGTGTTGCAGAGATAATAACAAATTCAAAATTTTTTCCAGAGGCGTCTATTTGACCTTGTAATCCAAAACATGGCTAGATGACTTCCTATTGTTTGGCAGTAAACTACTGTTACGAATCAATCTAAAGAGAAACTTTCAAATTCTTATTTTTAATCAATATATATGAAATGTTCCTTCACTGGTTGGTTTACCCTAGCAACTTTTCTAAAATTGATTTTGCCACAAAATGAGATATTTTTGATGTTTTTTTTTAAATCCCTGTTTCAACTGAGAAGATTATTTTCGTTTTTAGAAAGTTTTATAAACGCCTTTTCTCAACCATTTTGATTGGATTTTTAAAAGCAACTATTTATTTTTGAAGTAAAAAAGCATTGGAATTTGCAATTTAAATCTGATACTAAATGCTCTTTTTATTTACTGTTAATTAAATTGTCAGATTCTTTTAAATCAATATGACATTCATGTTAATTTTATTGAAATTAATTTTTACAAATGTATACTTATCAGTCGTTTTTTATTAAAACATGTGTGTTTTACCCACGGCCAGTTCAGCGAATAGGCAGAATGGGTAGAATGTTTCACCCAATTTATTTCCCTTCCTAATAACTTTGAGAAACTTGTTTAGCTATTCGGAGAAGATTGTAGGTTACCATATTCTAACGAATCAGATCGTATCCAAACTGTTTATTGTGAGAAAAACCGTTTATTAACTGTTTTCACCTAATATCTTTAACTAACCGGAATTTTACAGCACCAACTAGACCTATCTAATGAACATCACTTAGTTCCTTGCTGATGGATAGATATTATGGGACAGAGGGATAATCTGTCTGTCTCATGACGGACAGAGCGGGGTTTGAGTCCCAGCCTTGACACCGAATTCCTGCTTTCTGCATTCCCCAATTTGTGACCCTGGGTGATTGAAATACTATACTCTCATTCACGGATTGATGGTAGAACCATGAAACAGTCAACCTATCTTCAATCTCCAGTTCAATTTACTTTTTACGATTTTAAAAACATTTTAATAATCTATGCACCAAAAGAAGAAATAAACCACTCCCCCTTTTAAACGGAAAATTAAAAATCACTTCAATTAAAAATTACCACTATGCCAATTTTGATTTATTTACTTCGTAGATATTTCTGTTATTAAATATTCATAATTTACAAACTTTTAATTTACTTCTTAATTTAATAAGAATGACTTAGTGATATATCTTTTTTATTTTTAAATAAAAAGTACTGTTTAACTTTATAGAATAAAAAATTGTGATGCATTACATTTTTGAACACAGAACAAACTCTGAAAATTTTAATTTATTCAATTTTTTAATTTAATTATTTTTTGTAGAATAAAATTAATGAATTGAAAGCGAAATTTTTGTTATTATTACTAATTACTTAAAATGAAGAGGAATTGTATGTATAATAATGTATGTATAAGAATTGTATGTATAATATGTATGAATAATCTTTATACCAGATGTAAAAATAAAGAACTTTCACATTCAGACGAGAAAATTAAAATGATTTAAATTAATGAAACACTAGGTTTTATGTCAATTTTGATTTATTTACTTCGTAGATTTTTGTTGTGATTAAAAACTAATATTTTACATACTTTAATTTTAATCACTAAATTAATAAAAAAATACTTCATTGTATACTTTTTTAAATTTTGAAATAAAATTACTTTTTTAGTTAATTAGGAAAAAATACTATTAATAATTTTGGACATGTTAATACTTTTTATAATATTTTTTTTTAGTTCTAAAGTTAAAAATACTATTTAATTTTAGTAGAAAAAATTGCAAAGCAACACATTTTTGAACTTAAAACAAACACTAAAAATAAAATTCTGTTCCGTTCCCCGAAAACATGCTTGAAATGTTACACCGGCGACAATCCCCTTTTCACAGAGTTATTCACATAGGTTAATAACTTATTTACTTCGTATTTTTTTGTTGTCAATAAATATCCGTAATTTACACACTTTTATTATATTTCCTAATTCAATAAGAATAATTAAATAATTGTATTAAGTATTAAATAAGAAATACTATTTAATTTTATTAGACAAATTTGGGAAGCAACACATTTTTCTAATGCATTCGAAATATTGCAAATGCAAAGAATCGATTTAAGTTTTAAACTTTCAAGCCATGAAGAAAGTATCTTTAAAAACATGTTCCAAAATTTCAGTTCCTTTCTCCTAAAACATGCTAGAGATGTTTCACCGGTGACAATCCACTTTTTGTCAGACTTATTTACATAGGTTAATGAATTATTTGCTTCGTAGATTTTTGTTGTTAGTAAAAATATTTAATTTACACTCCATTATTATATTTCCTGATTTAATTAAAGTTATTAACAATATATTTTTTAATTGAAAGTGGAAATACTACTGAAATTTATTATACAAAAACGTGTGGCAACTCTTTTTTGCCATATCAAAAATGTTGCAAATGCAAAAAATCCATCAAAGTTTGAAACTTTCGAGACAGGAAAAAGTATATTTAAGGCATACTCCAAAGTTTCAGTTCAGAAAATTAAAAATAAAAAACATCAGAAAAAGCCAGTTAAGATAGTATGGCAGTTTTTACATATTTAATTCATAGATTAAATAGATTGTTAGTAAAAATTTATAAGATGCAGGAATTTATTTTATTTTCGAATTTAATAAGAATGACTTAACAATTTTATTTAATATGAATTAAAAAATACTATTTAATATTATTTGCAAAAGTTGTGAAACAGCACATTTTTCTGTTATACCAGAAATATTATAAATGCAAGGAATCTATCAAACTTTTAAACTTTCAAGCCATAAAGAACGTTTTTTTTAAACATGCTCCAAAGTTTCAGTTCCTTTCGCCGAAAACGTGCTTGAGATGTCTCAATGGTGACAACTCCCTTTTCGCAGGTGAAAAGAGTGAAATCGAAAATTCGAAAACTGACACAGCTTCCGCGCTCTCTGGCGAGAGTACCAGATACACACGTGGTCTATGATTACCTCCCGGACTGCCAGATTCAGTTTCAGAGAGTCTGCCTGTCCGGTAAGAAGAACTTCTGATTTACTCCCGGATTTCTGCAGCCGCGATCGGATGGCGCACGCTCGCATTGTTTCCGTTTACTGGATTATAGCAACAAGTCTTCATTTGCAAGGTAGGAAATTAAATTACTACTAAGCAAAAGTCAAATGAGAAACAGTGAAAAAATCTACAGATGAAATGACAAACAACGATATTAATAATTAAATTTTTTGATAACAATAGCAACATAAACCGATCAAGTAGCAAATCCCCAGATTTATCAATCAGAAATCATTGATACTGATTATGTGACAAATAATGAAACAAAAAAATTAATCTCTAAATGCTATAAATAAATAAAAAAATGTTAATGGTACTTGAAATATGAACGTGGGTTATATACAAAATATTGTAAAAAAATTAAACCTGAAAAAAAGACTGACTTAAATTCCATAGCTTCTGGGAATATATTTGCAGATAAAAATGAGTAACACAAATGTAAGACCTGAAAAATTATTTGCTGTCATAAAGCTTAAACATGCAGTTAGGGACATGCATCGGTGACATACAGTTTTTTTTAATAAAACTCAAATTACTATAAATAAAAGTTGAAAAATGAATCAATGCCATCGGAGTTAAGTAAAACTTTTATTATGCATAAGCTTATTCAGACAATCCTAATTTAAAAATGACTGGAAATATCGAATAAGCAATCGACAATAGGTTTCACATTCTAGGAAGGAATAAAAGAAAACCTTTATATATTTTTAAATATATATCTTTTTTTAGTAAATATTTTTAAGTAAATTCTTTTCTAAATAAATACCCAAATAAATTGAAATCTTTCACTTTAACAGGTAAAAAAAATTATAACTTAAAGTATCGATACATCTTACAAGTCGCATCAATTTTACTTTACATTAAACAATGCTATTTAAATGGAATTTCAAAGTTTTATTGATTAAGTTAAAATCGGCAGTAATAACATTCCTTAAAAGGAGTTTTCTTAAATTTTATAAAGTACTATTCATTTGTTTTTATTAATTTATATTCTATCCTTGATAAAAATTAAAGAGATTAGTTTTAGATTTTTCCGTAATTAAAACTTAATTTTTATGGTTAGTGTGACAAGATAAAGCATATTTTTGTTAAACGCATATAGGGAAACTGTCCAGAGAACCTAAGATACGTACATTTAGCACCTTTGAGTGCATGTGGTCAACAATCTTTTAACAATCTAATTTTATTAGCTTGAAGCAATGATTGGAATAATTACTATCACGATTGGAATAACCCTTTACTTAATAAAAAAACAGACAAAACAAAACATAAAGAAAACTGTACCAGAAATTAGATAAAATAAGCTAACGAAAATATATATAAAATACAAGAAAATATTTTTAAGCAGACCAGATAATCAATATTTTATAAAGCATTGACTAATAAACTGAAAACTTTATTTTAAGTTAGTTTTTTAACAGTTTTAAGAAAAATACATCTTTTAATTTTTTTTAATTAAAGCAATTTCCTATATAATAAGATATTGTTTTAAAATTTCTGATTTAATAATTTAAATTGAACTGGGAAAATGTTATTCCTTTTTAAAACGCAAGGCAATGTGTAGTCATATTCAATATTCAGTTATTTAAAATTCCGATTTTTGATAATCTTTCCATGTTTTTCTTAACATTAAAATATTAAACTCAAAATACTTTAAACATAATTTCACAAAATTTGAAAAATAAGTAGTGTATTTATTTTAGCTCGAAAATCATAAGACATTGAATGTATAATTTTATGCTTAAAAACAGTAGAAAATGTCATGAAATTTTTTATTTAAAATAGTTTATTTTTAAATGTTATTAACAAACAATGAATCGTTGAATAAAAGAACATATCCAGATTAATTCAACGGAAAAACATAAACAATGGAGAAGTTTTTTAGCAATACAAGAAACTAAAAATATCGTTTCTTAAGAATACTTGATTTTAATATTTATTTGAAATTAATCATCAAAGATTTGAAATACTTTTTTGTATGCTTCTTGAGCACAATAATAGCAAAACAAAAAATGCTTTTGAAAGAATAGATTAAATGAAGTATACTTTAAAACCTTGCTATTTTCAATATTTATGAGAACTGGAATAGCAAAAAATTTTATTTTCTCATGAATCTTATAATTAGAAGCAGGCATTCCTTAATATTTTAATTTGTCTTCATTTTTATAAGAAAATCTAAAATATTATTTGATATATAGTAAAATATTTGTAAAAATTTAATTAATTTTCCTATAATTATTGTTTAAAATCATTTCGACACATTGTTCCAAAGCTGAAACAATCATATAATTAGGGAAAAACTATTAAAAATGTTACTGATACTTCATATTCAATCTAAGGACAATATTAAACTAAGTTTTATCTTATAATATAATCTTACAGATAAAAATAAAAATCTTTTTCTCTCTACGAAAGAGAATTAATAGATTTATTAAAAAAAGAAAGAAAAAAAATCTTTGAGGATTTGTCTATTAATTTCGAATATAAATAATTTCTAATTAATACACAGTTCTTCTTAAAGGCTTCAATAGAATAGATCAAATTTATTTGCTTGTATGAAATAAAAAACCAACTTGAAATAATTTTGAAATTCCAGATTTACTAACTATCAAAAATAGATAAAAACAAAGTATAAAAAGCCTTAAAAAGTATAAATAACCAAAATTAAAACGCAAGAGTCCGTTACGGTATTAAAATTAAATTACATTTTCAGTGCCTAGACATCATTATGAATTAATATGAAGTCATTCAGTTTTTGTTGAAAACAATTATTTATAAGTTACAAGACAAATGTATGTTTTTAGACTTTTTTTATCTAAATATTAATGATAAAATTAATTATATTTACTATCAAATTTATAACAAAGTTAATTAAGCTTATTAAATTATTTTTTATAAAACTAAAAAATGCTGGTATATTTTATATGTTTTTAGTATTAATGGCGCAAGTTTACAAAGTTGAAACAAATATTTAAATTTAAAAAAATCGAGAAAGCTAAATATGTGCTGTAATTATTTTTAAAAAAAAATTATTTATCAATTAATGTCATTTCCCTGTTTATAAGTTATGTTTTGCTGCTGAGCTTGAAATAATAGAACAATTTTAATTTAAGTTTTATTGTGTTCTTATTCTATGTAAATACTACGAAAATCCAATAAACACAAATGAAACTAATACATGTGATGTGGTTGCATCACACTTGAATCGTTTTTTTAATTTTTATTTTTATTTTAACTGGTTTGATTCACTTTTGTTACTTATCATTCGCAAGGAAAATTTTTAGTTCAGTTGTTTAAGTTTTGGTTTTGTTAATCATGGTGGCATTTCTACCTTTAAATTTATTGATCGATATTTTTAGAACGAATTTTTATTTAACTGTGCCCGTTAAAGGGTTATGTATCCCTCGCGTGCTCTTTTAGCGTCAATCGATGAATATGCGTTACCTCTAAAGGTTACATGTCAAGGTGAAAATCTGAAATCAGATATTGTATTATAACAGTAATTTTCTAACTTTGTAGTGTAACTACCACTATGATTATTAAACATCAATTCCCTACTATGTAAGACATGATAACTCCATTCTATCCTATATGCCACCATAATGTAGCATAACACAAAATGTTTTAATGCACCGTAAATTATTTCATGATGCATGGGTCAGGCACCCAATTTATTTTAAATAAAGTAAATAAAGTCTATTCTATCTAAGGGCACCTTTTGATAGATGAAGGTTGACATTGTCGATAGATTAGCCCCACATGGGTGACTCGCGGGTGTGATCAGAACATGTGACCTCGACCGACACGCCTACCTTGGCTAAAACGCCTACTTCGATTTGAAGAGACTTAGTTGGATGGATGGTTCATAGTGTAAAATTGACTTGTGATTGCGACTTTGTCCTCTTCACGCTGTTGCTACTCAGTCTTGGTCTCACGCAACTGGGACCTGTACACACCCGACTGCTAATTTTAGGACAGGAGCGTCCACGATCGGGACCCTAGAACAGCTGTCACAACAAACGCTCGAAACTCGGTGAACTTAATATAGAACTCCCGGGCTTTCACAAAACGGCAACTAATGCTGTCTTTTCAACGAATTCTATCCCTGATAAATATCTGGTGGGGAATATTGTTTCGTAACTACCACTATGATTGTTAAACCTCAATTTCTTACCATATAAAGCATGGTAACTCGATTTTATCTAGGGGCACATTTTGATGGATGAAGTGGACACCTTTTGATATACACACTAGCTATAACTACTCTCCCCACAACTTTATATTTACCTTAGTTACTTATTAAAATATATTTACCTTAGCCACTAAATCAAAGAAATCAAACCATTGATTTTAAATAGCAAAAGCATTTTGCACTTTTCTAAATATCTGTTTGAACTATTAGAAAGTAAATGAGCTAAAAAATAAAAATAATATTAATATGAAAATATTAATATTTATGCTTATGTCGTTGCGTTCAATTTAAAATATAATGATAAATATCTAAGAATAAGAATCCATATGAAGAAAGTAATACAAACGGACGAAATAAAGTTAGAGCTCTGAGAGGAAGCAAGGAAAAGGGAAACTAATATTCGAATTTAACATATTTAGATCAGTCTTTATGGTTTTATAACTTCAACTTTAGTGTACAAAATAATTTATGAAACGAAAGAGACTTATAAATGTATTAGTTTTTGAAAATACATACTTTTTTTAACGATAACTTGGAAATTTGTCTGTCAAAGAGGGGTAACTGAAATCTGGAAATAATGGCTTCAATACTTTAGCAAGAAAAACAATTGAAATTTCGGACACCTAAATGTTAGTTTCCTTTTGAATAGTTAGCCACATATATTGATCTATTAAAATGAGTAAAATACTTTTTGAACACATATATAAACTTTATTTGCTAAATAAAGTTTATATATCTGTTATAAATTTTATACATAATCGGCGTAAAAAAATTTATTTATTATTTTTCTACAGTTTATTTAATAGTAATGCAAAAACACTGGCAATTAAGTTACACAATTTTTTTATAATATTAAATATTCAGTGTGAACTTTCCAAGTA